CATCCGACTGATGATCATTTACCAAATAAGGTAAGATCATCGATGACCAAATTTGGTATATTCCCAGACTGTACTATGTTATAACAAGAGTAGACTATATAGTTCACTTTTCTTAGTACTATAACAAACAGTTTAATAATATCTTTTCAATACAATATCTGAAATATGCTTTTATATAATAAATAATAATGCAATTTATAATAACTACGTAGTAAGCAAGTATTAACACTATACTTTATTCGTATAACATTATATATAGTTAATGGTAGATTGGTTTTTGAAAAACATGGCAGAATTAGACAGTAACAAATCAAGAACAAAATAATTTTTAGTTCTTGATTTTGATAACTAAGTTTTATTTCAGATTATTTCTAAACCATTTTACAGGCAAATTTGTCTAAAATTTTATGAACAGATGCATATTTTCTGGCAAATTTTGAATATAAAAGTATCTAGTATTATAAAAAGATCAAACTGCTATTCGAAGCTTTCTGTAAATATTATTTTTGACAGTATATAATTTTTTTATTCTTATAAATATTCATTTACTTCTTGAGGTTTTCTAGAATTCATATAAAGTTGTGCGATATCTTGTTTGAGAATTGGAAATAATTGTAGAGATTTAGCTAATCAGAACTTTAATTCATATTGGACTTTATGCATATATATTAGTGACTTGTTGAATTATAGTTGTTTTTGATGTAATTTTTAGCTAAAATTATCGATATCTATGCCCAGAAAGATTTGTCTGCGAATACTTTATAGTGTAAAGGATAGTTCTAATAAATTAAAAAATTCTTAAAAAATCGTAAAACTGATTTTAAAACCCAAAAGATAGACTAACCAAACTAACTATTATATTAGTCTCATAAAGATCGAAACAGACCAGAACAGACTGATTTATTTTTAGCTGCAGTTGCCTATAGTTTCTTGCACATTATTACATGTGATTCAATAATATAAAAAAAATAATACTCGAATTTTTGTTATGAAAAGTTTAATAGAACAAAGGAAATGATAAAATGGTACAAATATGATCTATGAAATATATTTTTATCTTATTTCTTATAACTTTAATAACTTGTATACGATTTTCTGGTCATAATCTTATAATGTTAATATTTATATAACTTGACAATATGTAAAGCATATTATTTCTAATGTATATAATAAAGACTATTATAGTTGAACATAGTCATGTAACTTTGCAAACATATTCTTCAAAATTCTTTGTAATTGATCTTTTCACTATGTTCATATTAAAGTACCAACTATATAAAAACACTAGCAATATTACTAATTAGTTTCTAATTAATCTTTTAATATTACCAACCTAAAAAATTTTGCTATTTAGTAAAATCAAAATTTAAGATTAGCTATAAAATAAAATAAAAATATCTTAACAAATTTTTTATATTGATAACGCTATAAGGACCTTACCCAACTTTGGATAAAACAATCATATACATTAATAGATATATCGTCTGAAAAGCATAATTATAAATAGTGGGCACAGGCTATATGAAGTGGTAAACTTTTTATTAATTTGAATGAGTAGGTGTTTTTCTTTTCATTTGCTTCATTTCAAATAGAGCTGCCAAACTTTTGACGAAACAATGCTTTTTGCATTTTCACAAACTCCTATAATTTTATAGATGCAAGTTAAGATTGATGATTCAGAACGAATTCTTTAAAGATCAATAACTTGAGTTATAACTTTTTTTTGAATTAAAAAATCTAGCAAATAAAAATATTTTTTTTTTAAATGCAATCTTGTTTGAACATATCCAGAATATTCTGAGATGTGCGTAAGATTCTTTTTGGTTATATTATTATTCTTGCTTTCATAAAACACATCGACTACATCTTCACGAGTAACATAGTGCATATTGTTGCTTCGAATAATTGTATACTGCAGCAATTTTTCTACAATTTTAACAAGCCGGAATGCTTCCACTATAATATCACACATATTAGGTGTATTCTTTTCACATTCTTTGCAATTGTTACAAATATAATATATAGAAATTTAAGTATCATTTGGCCATAAAAAGGATAATATGCGAGTTGTTGACAACATTCATAGATTGCATCTGCATATAACTAAAGTAATATCATCAATATTGATATCTATACCAAACGCAGTAGTTGCAAATATAATTTTAATAGTTTTATTTTTTCATCCTGCAAACATGGTAATTTGTTCGACACTTGCTCGTTTTTCGTGGTATATTCCAACTATTGTAGAATCAAAATTTTTACAAAGAGCCTTTGTCATATCATCATATTTCTTAACTGTGGCTTCATAAATGATAGCATATCCCTCAAGATTATCTAGTAGACTAAATATAGCCTGATAAAGTTTATCTTTGTTGGCTAGTTTGGGTCTAACCTCTAATATAATTTCAGAGCGTTGAATAGTTGAAGTTCTAATTATTTTCATATCTGATCTTTCTAAAACTGATTGAATAATTTTTATATTGGTAAATAAATATGTGGCTGTCAAAGCAAGTACAGAAACTGCAGAAAAGTTATGCTTTAAGATATCTAAATTTCTCCATGCATTTCTGTTTTTTTTTTTTTTAATATTTAAAATTTACAATGTAAATTTGTTTTTCAATTACATGTAACTTACCGAAATCTCTTATATAAAACTATACAGTATGCTTTATTTATAACAAATTGAAGACCTCAAGTATTATAAACATTTTTCAACATAATACGAAATTTTGAGTTTTCTGTATATTTTTCTGGCATAATAAACAACACACAAATTAATCCACTTGCAATCTCTGCAAAAATCTTTTTTTGTATGAAGGGTGGTTGCTCTGAAGAAGTATATAGCATTGCTGCAGATATTCTCATTCTTATCATTTCTTGCTTTGTAAATTAAATAATTAGTAACAATTATTTTTATTCATTTGTTAAAAAAATATTTGTAACTTACTACCTGATCATCTATTAGTGCCTTTTGTGAAGTAAATACTATAGTTAATCCTCGAAGCAGTATACTTGCAGTCACATATATTAAACTTTTACTACTACCTATTTTTAATATAGTTAATTGATGATTCTCCAGTAAACTGAAGAATGTTCATAGTGAAATGTGATGCGGTTCTATATCTAAATTACTATAGGCACAAAAGTAGAAATTTTCTAGTGAGTGTCCAAGAAAAACTTTTTTTGTACTAAGTTAATCATCTTTAAGTCTTTAAGTAAAGTTGTAGAGCTTATCGAGACGAATCTAATGGTAGTTAGATCATCCAAATCGGCCAAGTGAATGCCAAGATATCTTTAAAAAACGTTTCGCTGACTATATAAAAATTCTTTGGATTGTTCTTAAAGAATTTTATATAGTTAGTAAAACGTTTTTCAAAGATATCTTGGCATCTACTAAGCCGATTTGAATGATCTAACTACCATTAGATTCATCTCGATGAGCTCTACAACTTTACTTAGAGACTCAAAGATGATTAACTTAGTATAAAAAAGTTTTCCTTAGACGATTACTAGAAAATTTTTACTTTTGCATTTATAGTAATTTATATATAGAACTGTATCACATTTCACTATGAACATTCTTCAGTTCACTGGAGAATCATCAATTAATATATCATGATCTAATAAAAAAGATAAAATACTTTCTTGTTATTTTTCATAATATTCTTCAAACTCGAAGAATTCTATAATGATGCTGTCAATTATACTAAGTTCCAAACTTGGTGTAGAGGTTGATTGCTGATATTGTATATTAGATATACGATCAAATAAATTGTGTTTTAATAAAAAACCACATAATGCGCATAGTCTATTTACAATTTTTTTTTGAAAAGACTAACAAGCCATGCATTTGAGAGCTGATAATTTGAATACAAATACTAGTGAAGCGAATGATGGTTCAAATCTATTATTGGTAAGTTCTTCTTGAATCCATAAATTATATGAAATTAAATTCTTTATAATTAAAAGAAAATTCATAAATCAAATTTAGTTACTAATGCATGCAGGTTATAGAATTTACCTGTGAAAAATTAAAACTTTCTAATTGACTTTTTTGATTGATTATTTTTTCAGCTCTTTTCTTATTACATATTGGATTGCTGCAATATTAGTTTTTCTTTTTCGATTCTTATACTTTCAGATATTTAATAGTTTTTTTCATCCTGATCTGAAAATCTAATTAAATTTCCTGCTACACGAATTTCGTATTGAAGTTTTACAGAACCTTTATTATTATGAATTATTGAAAGTACATGCCAAGCTTGAAATAACTTGAGATAATCTGTTTTTTTTCTATATAATTTAACTTCAAATGATTAAATACTTTATTATAGCTAGTATGTATTGTTGTTATTAAGCTTTGATTTTTTTTAAACTTTGTAATCTTTTTTAAAAATTCTAAAAGCCGCTTGTGTTGATTTTCATCAAAATTGATTAAATTTGGAAATAGTAAGCTTAAATCCAGATTCTTAACAATCCAACAAACTTCAGACCAACACTTATTATAATTTCCTTGCAAATGACAAATTAAGCCTTTAGTGTATATCTATACTAATTCTTTATCAGTTGGGGCTGAAATTTCAGGATTGTTGGCTCTACTGGATGCTGTATAAATACATTTCGTATAGAAGCTCATTATTGGTTGTTCAAAAATTTTCCAATTATAATCTGATTCTAAATATAAAATTTGTTATTTTTTATTCTTATTTTATTTTTTTTTGTTATTTAAACTTTAATCATTAAAATACCTATTTTTGATCGTATAGTTTTAGTTTTATGTTTTAAATCTATAAATATTTGATTAATCATGTTCAATGAAGTTAAAGTTTTATTAGTTAAAAGATCACTATCAACCCTGATATTTAATTTGATATTATATCATTCCAATACTGGTGTAATTTTTTCAACAATAGCAATTAAAATAGTGTGCTCTATTTGATATGAACTACTATTATAATTGCCTTCTTGAATCGTAACAGTTTTTTTATTTTAGTATGATATTTTTATTTTTTTCTACCATATGATACTAGTGTTCTGAAGTTCAGTTCAGTTCAATTTAGGTTCAGGTTCAAGTTCAATTGAATCTGAACTGAACTTTAAATTTTGCAGATCT